ATGTTCTTATATCAGCTATGTTATTTCTATGTGAGAATTCTGAGACTCCGACCAGGGACGCCGCTGTCGTTGACCCTCCCTAACCGACGCGGAGCGCTGGGTGACGGTTACACTGACTTCTCGGCCGGCCCACACTGGACGGATGGGCCGGGCCGCCTTGTGGCGGTTACGCCGGGTCACGCTCGCTGCCCCCGAGAGGAGGGTGTCTTGAGCGTGCCGCGTCCTTCCTGGTGGGTGTCTTCCGCGATGCGGCGGCAGAGCTCTCTGACGCTTCCGGGCCGGGGGACTCGGGGCTCGACAGATTGCCTTTGTGCTGAGAGGGGTTGCGCGCGCGTGCAGGTGGACGAGGAGTCCTAGAATTGCCGTGATCGCGGGCGAATAGGGTGACGAGGGTAAGGTGTGGGTGTGGGTCATTGTCGTGACCTTTCTTAACACTTCTATTTAAAACCCTGCGTAGAGATGAAGTGCTTTGGAAAAAGTACCCTTTCACCTAAAAAATGGCGTAATTTGTGTACGATGCGCGTTAGGCGGGCGATTTAGTGATTTAGTTAGCTCACGGTTTATTTCAGTTGCGGTCTTTCATCACAGAGTCAGGCCAGGTCGGAACTAGCAGAGCACCAGGGCTGCCGGTTATAATGACTGAGGCGGTGAGAGCTGAATGTTGGGGCGTGCCTCCAACTCTCAAACAAACTTTATCCCCTGCACGCGCCTCACCTCACCACCACCGTGCTTAGGCTCCGGCAGTCAGCAAGGCAACGCACCCTCATAGGGGACACGTTGTTTGCAGTACGCATTTTCCGCGAACAAAACAAAAACGTACATAAATGAACAAATGCCAATTTATAAGAGAAATAACGAGTTAAATATTTTTATTTCTTTAGTTAAAACTGTACAGAAATGGCGATGATGGACCTTGGTATAACGACGGGCCTTACCCTTACGCCCCTCCCGCGCCCATTTTATAAAATAAGTCGACCCAAACTCATTACATCCGGAAGGATGTCTCATACGCCTACAAATCCACACTTTAAAAGGAAAAAGGCGATTTTGTATCCAGTGAAGATGTGTTCTTAAGCACATCTCAATTGAACGCAAATTTGTATCTGAAAAGTTACAAGTTACAACGTAGGGTTTTGTGTCTAGTTTAGAGAAAAATTTGAATCCCATTTAGATGTGCTTACGAACGCAACCTCGCTGGATACAAAATTGCCCTTCCATATGTAGAGCGTGGACAACCGCTGCGCCCTTAGATGCGGCCCAGCATGCTGGCGAACCACTCGCGGAGGGGCAGCGGCCGCACGGCGCCCGTCGGGCCCTTGCCGCCCTGGGGCAGCCTGTTGCTGGCCGCAGGCTTGACCAGGACCACCATGGGCTTGAGCCGCGCCACCATGGGCGTCACCATGGGCTTGGGCCGGGCCTTGGTGGACCCCGACGCGGGAGCGCCCATGCCCATGCCGGGCTTGTACGGCTGTAGCCTCACGGCCACGGGGCCCTTGAAGGCGGTGCCCTTGAGCGGGCCTTTGATCACGATGGTGGGGCTCTTGAGCGGCAGCCGGAGCGGCCGCAGGTGCCTAAACGCCGCGGGCGCCTGGTAGCTGCCGTCGCCGAACATGAGCTGGCCGTCGGCGTGCGTCATTCCTGCAACACAACAGACGTGAGAAGCACTGGTTGTGCCTTACAGGGTGGCCCGCATAAACCCCGAGCGGACTTTGCCTACCGCCCACCGCCTCTTACAACGGCGGCGCGTTGCCCCTTGCGATCAGGCAACGCGTCAACACGCCTGCGCGGTGCACTATAAATAAGAAATCGTCCGGGATTTGTGGGCCATCCTGTATATTCAGAATCGGTGCTACAGTCAACTGTAACCTCGATCGAGGTTACTCTCTCTTCAGATGAATCCATCTGGGTCAACAAGTAGTAGCAGATGCGGCCCTGCTTGCCAATTTTCATCATGGCCCCCAGATTCGTGCAGAGAAATCGAGATGAACGTGTTGTTTTTTCGAAACGGCCCCCTCCCTGGAGTGGCTCGTCATGCCGATTGGTTCCGGCTCCTCACCTCTGAGGTGGTCCTCCTGCCCCTCCAGGTCCTGCTCCTGTGCGGTGGGCTCGAACCCCCGGGGCGTCTCTGCAGAGACGGCGAGCTCCCCTGCGCGCTTGTTGATGTGCAGATACACGTCGGCCGCCGGGGGAGGCGGCGGCGGCTGCGTCTGGTCCGCGAGGCGCCACACGGGGGGCGGCGGGGGTGGCGGGCGGAGCGGCAGGCGCGGCGGCCCCGGCGACAGGCGCACGCCGGGCGGCTCCAGCGGGTTGCCCTGGCAGTCCCTGGTGATGAGTGTGGAGTGCGAGCGGCGCTGCAGGCGCTGGTGGGCGCCGCCCTGGTCATGGACGTGAGCGTGCAGCGGGCAGCCGGGGCCTGGGCCGACCCCTACCCGCGGCTCGCTACTGCAACAACACAGACACATTCCAAGCGTTAAACTTTTCCATCCGTGTGCCCCGAATGCCAAAGCGAGTAAGATTTTTCTGACACTTCTTAATGCGTGACAAAAGTGTCGTGTCTCACGTTTGGCAGGGCGTACGTTGTCTGGAAAGCATGCAAGTTAAAAGTCCGACGGACTCAGCACCGGCACACATTCGGTCAGAAACGGTAAACCGGAAAAGAAAGGAATATGATGTCACAGGCGTCCGTTGATGGTAATTTTTAGCTGATTTTGGGGGCACCTCTATCGACATTTGTTGAGACCTCGTGTGAGACCTTCTTGTGTTATCCTGCGGTGCGCAATAAGTCAAAAACACGTCCTTAGATTTCTTAAATGGTGAGGTGTCGGTGTCCGGGACTTAGGACCTTCCGCCACCCATCCGCCGAGACCAACACTTACCTCTTCCTGTCCGGATACTGCTGGTGGTGGGCCTCCTCTACCTGGGGATGGCCGTGATCCAGGTCCCACACCTGGGTGCCCGAGGAGCCCTTCCCGGACCAGCGCACCTGCAACAGTAGGGGGTTTGAGGGTCTGAGCGAGGTCCGGGACGAGCTGTGGTCTGTTCAAGAGGAAATCGTCCATTATCGTTCAAAATCATGTCAGCTTTATTATGTCATCCATAGACATCCTCTGTTGCTCGCAGTACTTGTTGGGTCAATGACTCGTTTCTGCCGTTTGCGGAGCATCATCGATTCTCCAGAGACTTTACTCGAATGGCGCGGGTGGCTGTGAACTCCTGTGGTGCTGGCGAACTGGCGGAAAGGGAGCCCCT